GTAATTCTAAATAAAAGTAGAGGAAAATTGAACATCTTTTTTTTCTGAATCAATCTATTAATGTTAGAGATATACGTGAAAAGATTTTTATTTTATTAACATCATCCACTTATTAATCGTTTTCGAAAAAAAAATATAGATTTTGTTTAAAAGTTTGTTCAAGTTTAAAAGAAAAGTATTTTTCTTGGAAATGAAAATTTAATTATTTACATAAAATAACTACGAAATTTGTTAATTATATTTCGTAGAAAATAGATATTATATGGAACAGATTTTTATCAATCGAAGAGTAAATATAAACAATTTCCACAGCCATTTTTCTTCTAATAAAAAGTACTTTAAGATGAAATAGCAATTTAAAATAATTCTAAATATTTGTCTCAATTAAGAATTATTTTATGAATATGTAAAGAAAAATATTTATTCTACACGAGGAATTCTAATAGTGCATAGTAATCTAGAGGAAACTTTCTTTTTTATCTGGAGTGATAGTAAAATGAACTCTATTTTCCTATGAGATATTTATATTAATGCTCATTTAAAACCGAAAGACTAATGAGTATCTTTTGAATAACTTTTCATAGTAATAAGGTAGAAAGATGCAGTGTTCACTCTTTCATAGACTAAATGACGACACATGGAATAGTATATTTTTGTCTTAGATTTAAAAAGAGGTGCTGTGAAAAATGCCATCTTTTTTTTGCGCATCAATGTTAATGTAACCATCACATATCATAATAAAATGAAAAAAAATATGTATATTTAAAATTTTCTCTTTTTTTTATTCTTTATCTGTATTTTAATATATGCAGTGTATGAGTTATCTCTCAAATTGACGGTGAATGTATTGTTTTTATCCGCCGTTTCATTCAATCATCGTTCGTTTCCTACAATGGTAAGTGCACGACATGCAAGTTATCCTTACACATTCGAGACGGAAAACACAAACGAATTGAACATGAAATGTTTAAAGACGACAAATATATCGTGCACGTAATATTTTATTGCTTGACAAACACCGGTTGTTATCATGCGCTGTGTATCATCAGTGCGTAACGTCGACGTCGTCTTTTATCGCGTCTTTCCGTTTTCATACCTTCTCTGTCTTCCGTTTCTACTTCTTCTTGTTCTTCGTAACAGAAGAATAAAAATAATTTTCTAACTAATGGAGCTTTTGAGGTGGCTCTAAAACAAATCAACCTTCCCAGGGATATCCGACGTTCTGTTGGTGACCCGTGCAGATGGTAGGCCTTCATAGCATACATCAATGTATGTATGAATAGAAGCGTCCATTTCGTCACCGTCTTTTCGAAGATGATGATCATGGTTGTACTATTCATACGTACATCAATGTATGTTTGCCTAACCATTGCCGGCTTTGTCCACTGTACGAGCCAGCAGAATACGGAGGGTATCTCTGGTCGCGCGCGCGCGAAATTTTGCAACTGCTTGCTTCTGCGAGCTTAGATTACAAGATGGCCAGTTTATTTTCTCCTTAAGATCGAAAAAAAACAATTACATTTTCCTTTTTACATTTTCAATGCTTCTTTTTGACTGCGCAATGTCGGAATGATTGGACGGAAGTGATTTCTGTCGTATCTCAAGTCCTTTTTGCAGAAATGAGAGTGCTTTTGCGTACTCGCCCATGTTATTATACACCAACCCGATGTTGTTGTAAGATTGAGCCAAGTCGGGATGATTCGGAGGTAGAGCTATTTTACGGATTTCAAGTGATCGTTCATACGATGAAAGTGCTTTCGAGTACTCGCCCATGTTATAATACACCAACCCGATGTTGTTGTAAGATTGAGCGAAGTCGGGATGATTCGGAGGGAGAGCTTTTTTGGTAATCTCAAGATCTTTTTCATAATATGAAAGCGCTTTTGCGTACTCGCCCATGTTTTTATACACCAACCCGATGTTGTTGTAAGATTGAGCCAAGTCGGGATGATTCGGAGGGAGAGCTATTTTACGGATTTCAAGTGATCGTTCGTGCGATGAAAGTGCTTTTGAGTACTCGCCCATGTTATTATACACCAACCCGATGTTGTTGTAAGATTGAGCGAAGTCGGGATGATTCGGAGGGAGAGCTATTTTACGGATTTCAAGTGATCGTTCATACGATGAAAGTGCTTTCGAGTACTCGCCCATGCTATAATACACGGAACCGATGTTGAGGTAGGAAGCAGCCAAGTCGGGATGATTCGGAGGGAGAGCTATTTTACGGATTTCAAGTGATCGTTCATACGATGAAAGTGCTTTTGAGTACTCGCCCATGTTATCATACACCAATCCGACGTTGTTGTAGGAAGAAGCCAAGTCGGGATGATTTGGAGGGAGAGCTATTTTCTTGATTTCAAGTGATCGTTCATACGATGAAAGTGCTTTTGAGTACTCGCCCATGTTATCATACACCAAGCCGATGTTGTTGTAGGACCAAGCCAAACTGAGATCATTTGGAGAGAGAATTTTCTTGTAGATATCCAGTGATTTTTCGTAATATGAAAGTGCTTTTGAATACTCTCCCATGTTATAATACACCCAGCCAAGTTGATGATTGTATTCCGCTCGACCTTGATCAGAAGACGCCTTTGCGAGGAGAATTTGATAGAGTTGTTCTGCTTTTGCAGGTTCGCCCAATTTAATAAGTATGAGACCAAGTTGAGACCACCCTATGCGACCACGAAGATCCTTACGTATGTGTGCTGTAAGTGTGCTCAATTCGTGATTGTCATTACCGACAATAGTGAGATTAACTTCGTATACCCGATCACAGTGATTATCGTGAATTTGTTCAATGCGATCGATACGAAAAATCGCATGTGTTGAAAATAGTATTTCTTCCTCTTTATCTTTGTAGTAGCCCACTTTGCTTACTTCAGCAAATGGTGTTGATGATTTCGAGCAAATAGCCGTGTCAATGTTCATAATAAAGAGGATGCCAACTGAATTTGTATTTAATGCTGCTGGTCGTGCAAAGTTTTTGAAAGATATCTCACGATTGCGACTTGTCGACAGGAAATTATTAAAGGACATAAGTCCTCCTTTAGTTTTTTTCATTTTTTCAAAATCTTCCATGGACAAACCTTGTCCACGGAAGACTTGAAAATTTGTTGGCATGCTGCCTTTTTGTTCGCCATGTAATTCGGTAATATGCTGATGTAGATGTCGGATGAAAAAGCCCATTTTCAGGATAATATTGACATCCATTTCTCGGAGTCCACGATTGAGCATGGGATAAATAAATGTCTCCGCCGTATACCACCATATTGGTGTATGAGCACGATATTCACGTTCAACAAGTTTAATTTGATCTTCAGAAATATCATCTTGTTCACGACAATAATCAGTCAAGTCTTTGATGGATTTTTTATCATCATCTTCGATCTCCAAGAGTGCTTCCTTTAACAATTGTGTATACATAAATAATGGATCAAGTCCATTAAAGCTGATCGGGATCATAGCTTGATCACATCGTTGTCGATCGATTTCAAGTGCTTGACAAATTGGTTCTATTTTAGTATAGACACCCTTAATCTTGCTTATTTTTTTAGCCCATTGTTCATGAACGGATTGGTTACCACAAAATACATAAATTGCTTCCAGTTGTGGCCATGCTTCGATTTCTGGTACTATTTGACGACCCAAGGAACCTGATACG